TTTTTCATTACCTTTACTTTTCGCCACCTTCTGTCTCTCTTGAGCTGGTGATGGACTGCCACCCTTGCTGCTTTCCACCGCACTTGGTTTGGGTGAAATTTTTTCAGAGATTTGAGAAGGATCTGTAACAATAATATTTACATTTTGTGTTATCGTGTTACTGCTAACATGAGGGAAATGAACAAAAACAAAGGTAGCAGTATTTCTTTACATACAGTAGCACTTGATGAGAGCAATATAAATATAACACATGAGATTGTCATTGCATGGTGGTGCATGGTTAGGAGTATGTAGTCCTGCATATCTTAAAGCTCTTTTCCTAGTTACAGTCTAGTTTATTTTTCAGCCAGTGAAAAGTAGTCGTATTCATGACATGTAGTATGTAAACCAAGACTGCGGACACCAGAACGTAGTAGGTGTACCTAGTTAGGATTAGGCCACAAATTCAGGTAGAAATACTATAGGAGTTACTTGGCTAGTCCCTGAACTCGTAATAGAACTAAAAATAGAAAAATTGGAAAAAATTATGGCCTAACCCTAACCTGATACACATGTTACGTTCCGGTGTCACTATCTTAGTTCACATACTACGGGAGCGCCAAAGTAGTTACAAAAAATTAGGAGAAATAAAAATTAAAGACAATTTTACTGGAGAAGCAAAAACGTGAGGTAAGTATTTTTCCTATACCAACATAACTAAATGTTGCATCATGATTGAAAATATTGTAAGGCATGTTAAACAAATAGAGAATTAGGAATAAATGGATCAATGTTTGGAGAAAATATACAAGTGGAACAAACTATTTTAAAAGAAATACACTTTGATAAGGCCGGATTGTTGGAGATTAGACAGTTTGATAGCGTGATTAATCTTTTAGGAGATTTTCAAACCTTCTCTCTGATATGTCGTTTTATAAATATCACTTTGCTCCTGAGAGGACTAAATTTTTCCTATCAAGATAATTATGACATAGATGAGGGAGTATGCAATCGTTGAAACCCGATATGCTTAGCATGCATTGCTAACGTTGTTTGGTTCGACACTCGAGCCATCAGGTCATCTCTGAACAAATCAGCAACCAACATTACCTTGATCAATTTACCAGGTTCGTCTATCAGCCGATATTTGTTAGCTCACCAGATCTCACTAGGATAAGATAGGATTAACATATTTATTCCGGGACAGAGGATATCCGATAAGACGGCTTAACCATATGGCGAACCACAGCCTCTCCTTCAGTTACCATTTCATGTCGGGTATGGGATTAGTTATATGGTGTGCAGAATCCGGTTGCCGAATTTTAATATGGCGGGATTTTGATGATTTTTCCGATACCGGATTCGGATTTGAAAATCAGACACCGAGCCGGATTCATCCGGATTCTGAAAAAAATCACAAATTCTTTTGTGTCTCAACGGCACGAATTACAAATGAACTTTCTGTCAATCCGTCCTGCTCTTTGCTGCCACCTCACCTATTTTATTTTGGCTATCTCAGGAATGCTTTGCTACGTATGGTGGCGTCATGGTTTTGCCATATCTTGAAGCAAAGAAAACAACCTTCGTCTTGTATTCTGGTGCAGTGTTTGAAAAATTTTATTAGCATGAGCAACTAGAAAGTCCATTGAGTTAGGAATTTAAGATTTTTGCTTTTAAATTATTCTGGAATTCAAATATGTGAGCATTAACTGAATAATTATTTTGAAAATCATGTTTGAATTCAGCATCTGCTAACTTCTGGACTTGCAGTTATAGTGTTAAGCTACATGAGTAGTTATTTAGGATTTGTGTCAGGCACCACCATGCTTAGTGAAGAATACCCAGCCTGATTTGACTTAGTTGTTTGGAATTATCCACTACAGTTCAATTTGGATATTCCAAATGCATAATTCTGTCAAAGTCATGTGGTCAATTTCATATAGTTACAGCAATTAACCGGCCATAATCTGGTCAATGTTAGCTTGAATAATATCATTTTATCAGAGCAATACCAGAATACTGTCAGCTGCACCACTATGTTGGTTTCCATATTGCGAGTGATTTCCAATCGTATCACAGACTATGCGACTGGAGTGACCAGCTATAAAAGCTAATGTTTCGTTCTCTGTATCATATTTTCACCTGATTCTCTTTGTTAAGTTTAAACTTGATATTGTGTGTACAAATAAAATATGAAAAACGTCATAATTCAGTCGGAAATTCACTGAGGTTTGGACATCTTTACTCGAAAAAAGCAGGATTTTTTTCGGATTAATTTTTCCAAGGTATCCGGATACGAACGAATTTTGAAATCAGATAAATTTTTTCGGACGGATTCGAATTCTGTTCTTAGTGAATCCGCATATCACTAATTAGTTAGTTATTTGTTTTCAGAAGCATGGACTTGGTGGTGATTGATAATAGAATTCAAAAGATATGGTGACAACCGACATAGAATTTAGGTCGTTTTTCAGATAATAAACTAATGTCAGCATAAGTTTACGAGTGCTGAGAGCTGTATAGTAAGTCAAAAATAAATATTCGCCGGCATCGTCAAATGTTAATTGAATACATTGCGCTATTTCATTACTAATGACGATCGACGAGCGGCTGATAATATAAGTCTCTTTCGAATAGTAAAGCAGTATGTTTACTGTTTACTGCATCGTCAAATGATAAATAAATACACTGCGCTTTGGCCGAACGACGAGCAGCTGTTCGAATAGTAAAGCAGTTTGTTTACTATTGATTACGTCAACTTATTCAAGCTGCGCGAGACAATTTTTACGAGATAATCACAACACGAAAGATACGGCCGACGCGACGCTGAACGCATATGACCTACTCAAACATAACACGTCATTGCTCGGCTACGATTACCGCTGCGGCATTGTCTGTGGTATCATTTTGTTAGAGAAACAAACAGCAAAACTACTATTATGCACACGAGATAGCTCACATATGAAAAATGACAACTCAACGGCACGGAACGAAAGAGTGAGGAATTTCTGTTTACAAAAATCGCTAGATTCTCTCACGTACGCGGAATACCGTACGATAAACGGTCCATTAGCGACCTCTTGTGTATAGAAAACATAAATACGCTCCCAACAAGCCCTCAATGGCATCTCAGGCTGTTTTAGTTAACTGAAAAATGCCAATAAAAAAATGTTTGCAAAATGAGCTCAACCAACCAAATTTTTAAATCAGTTAATTCTGTTTTTAGTGAATCCGCATACCACTAATTAGTTAGTTATTTGTTTTCAGAAGTATGGACTTGGTGGTGAAGGGAACTTTAATCGACCAGCGGTTACGTGAACCACTATACGGCAGCGAGAACTCCAGCAATCCTCTCGCACATAGCTATTTCCGCACAGGATTCAAATCTGTAAACCCATGGGGGCTAATCAAAGGTACGATGGCGAGCGTATTCCAAATGCTTAGCACGATGAAATTTATTTTTATCAGATCAGAAACTAGATGATGCGCCATTGTTGACATTTTCTATGGCGTGGTAAACAAATAGAGAATTTGGAATAAATAGGAAAATGCAACGAATCCACAAGCAGCATTACCTTGATCCTCCCCAGACTTCCTACTCTCAACTCGTTGTTCCACCAAATGTCCACTCTGATCACTGCCTGATGTGCTGGGAATAGCCGAGCCTGCAACAACAGAAATATGGTTGTCCTACTGTAGAAGCATTATGAAGTCAATCTCAATTTTAAAGTAATGCATTTTTGACAAACTCAAACTGAATTGATTAATATACTTGGTATTGGGAATATCAGGTCTTCTTATTGATCAACAGTGGTTAGGGGTTGTGTAAACTTATTTACACTTCCATCTCAATGAGAATAAAGCCTAACAGAAGAACATAGTCCAAATCTCTTTGTTATATTTGTACCATTTCTTTTATTACCTTCGCTTTTTGCCACCTGTTCTCTCTCTCTAGCTGATGGACTGCCATTGTTGCTACTTTCCACTGCACTTGGTTCAGAAGGACTTTTATTCAAGATTTGAGAAGGATCTGTAACAAGGAGGCTTAGATAATATTTAATTAGGTCACTGATCACAAAATACTTGGATAAAGAAACATAGGGTAAAAAAAGTATTGCTTTTCAAGCAGTTGAGTACCCCAAACAAAAACTAGTACGACATGAACTCTGGACCGACATGAACAACTTGTTCGTCCTTTTTGGAGTGAAGGTATGGAAACACCTAATATAAATAATCTCATCTGTTGTCCTAACGTTGGCTCCGCCGGCAATTGGTGTTGGTGTTTCATATTTAAGAGACAAACTGACAGAATGTCAGAATATCATAATTACTCCATGGTGAGGAAAGCCTAACGCATGGGAGTGGAGATTGAGTCATGATTGTGACCAATTCGGTGCCTAATATATGGGGGGGAACCCAAACTTTAAATATTGCTCATATCTTCCGCTACCTTCACTTTTTGCTCCATCCGGTCTCTGCCTTCCAGGTGATGTGCTACCATCTTTGCCGCTTTTCACTGAGCTTGGTTTGGAAGAACTTTTTGCTGAGATTCGGGAAGGATCTGTAACAAGTAAAGATGGATAATATTAATGAGACTGAACAAGTAAAACTGGGATTAAGAAACAATGGGTAGAAAAAGTATCGCTTTCTAGCAGTCGAGTATCCGAAAAAAAAAAAAAATTAATGAAAAATAATATGTCAGGTGAACTCATAACTGGATAAGGATCCATGACTTGACATATGCTTGAACCACCTTTTTAATTTTTTTCACCCCCGAGATAAATTCAACAATGTTTCAATGCTATAATTCTTCCAACTATATCTAAACTTCTGTCACTATCAATTAAATCCAATTTTTCTAATAATTTTTTTCGCTCGCTAGGAGTCGCTGTTTTATTCTCAAGAGACAAGATGAATACCATATAAGTTTTCATATAACAGAATCAGAATCTCACATCCATACCAGTAAGAATGAAGCATAAAAGAAGAATATAGACCATGTCTCTTTATTTTTATATTACCTTCACTTTTTGCCACCTCCTGTCTCTTTCTAGCTGGTGATGGACTGCCACCCTTGCTGCTTTCTACTGCATTTGGTTCAGAAGAACTTTTTCCTGAGATTTGAGAAGGATCTGTGAAAAGAATATTTACAAGTTGTGTTATCGCTTTACTGCTCACATAAAATCAAGGGAAATGAACAAAGAAAAAGCAGCATTATTGCTTTACATACCTTAGCAATTGAAGCGAGCAATATAACACATGAGAATCTATTGCATGGTGGTTTTCACTAACAGCATTCATTTAGAAGTATTACATATTTAAGCCCTATTTCGAATTACTTAACGTGAGTTTATTTTTTACAGACTTTGAAAAACTGTTTTTCTTTACTACACCCGACACTAGATGATCCATGGTTGAAATTTTGTATGGCGCCATAAACTAATAGAGAATTTGGAATAAATAGAGAAATGCAACAAATCCACAAACAGCATTACCTTGATCAACTCCAGACTTTTCACTCTCAGCTCTCTGTTCAACAGAACGTCCACTCTGATCACTGCGTGATGTGCCGGGAATATCCGAGCCTGCAACAACAGAAATATGGCTGCCATACTATAAAAGCTATATGAAGTAAAACTCAATTTACAAATAACGCATTTTTGACAAACTCAAATCGAATATTTTTAAAATACTTGGTAATCCCTCCAACCCTACTGCAATTCTATATAGGCTTGCCTCACTGATAATTAAGTCTATTTAACAAATAGTTTTGTCTGTTTGTAGATGTCGGTGTTTTATTTTTAAGAGACGAACCAAATGATATATATATTTTTACACGACAGAAATTTACCTCTATAGTCCAAATAAAATAAATTTAAATTTCATCATTTTTTCATTACCTTTACTTTTTGCCACCTTCTGTCTCTCTTGAGCTGGTGAAGGAATGCCGCCCTTGCTGCTGCTTTCCACTGCGCTTGGTTTGGAAGAAACTTTACCCGAGATTTGAGAAGAATCTGTGACAAGAATATTTACAAGTTGCGTTATCGCTTCGCTGCTCACATGAAATTGAGGGAAAGTAGTAGTATTGCTTTATATACATTAGCAATTGACAAGTGCAATATAACACATCAGATTGCCATTGCATGGTGGAGGTGGAGATTGAGCCATGATTGTGACCAATATTGTGCTTAATATTTGTAAAATGCTCAACTTTAGATTTTGCTAATTCATTTTGTTACCTTCACTTTTCGCCCCTTCCGATTTCTGCCTTCCAGGTGATAGGCTACCACCTTTTCCGATTTCCACTGCGCTTGGTTTGGAAGAAATTTTCGCCGAGATTTGAGAAGGATCTGTAACAAGTAAAGATGGAAAATATTTGTGTAACTTATCATGTGAAAGCCGTTGATAAATAAACGGAGAGTAGAGCTAGAGTTGCTTTTCAAGCAGTAGAGTACATGAAACAATTACAAAAATTCCTATACCTGACATGATCTCATGACCTGACCAAAGGCGGAGCAATGCAATGGGGTAAAGAAAGATAGGATAGAAGAAGTATTGCTTTTCAAGCAGTAGAGCATCTGAAATACATACTTGTTAACAATACCTGACATGAACTCATGACCAGAGGAGAAACATACATACATATATTAATTCATGAATAAAAGCAGCGCATATCAGCGCAAACTCGCATATCAGTGGATACTTGCCTGCTCACCAGGTTTGCTATTTTATTTTTCATTTTCAAGGCATAAACCAAATGATCTAAAAGTGTTTCTATTTCAGAGAGAATAAAGCCAAACAGAAGAACATAGTCCAAATCCGTTTTATTTTGCCATTACTTTCATTACATGAAATTGCCATTGCATGGTGGCATGGTGGTTCCCACTAACAGCCTTCATTTAGGAGTCTTACATATCTCTAAGCCCTATTTCGAGTTATAGTCAAGTTCAATTTCTCAGCCAGTGAAGAAGTAGCCTAGTTACAACATTAAGGCAATTTTATTGGGAAGTGAAGACGCAACAAACTAGCTTTTTCTTATAACAAACACAGTTAACTAGAAAATTTGTAAAGCGTGATGAACTAATAGAGAATTTGGAATGAATAGAGCAACTCTTGGAGAAAATTTTTAGGTGCACAAACTATTTTTCCTATCACGATTATTACGTCATAGATGAGATACTCATCTGAACCTGACATCTCGGAATATCTAAACCTGCAACAACAGAAAAATGGCCACCAAACCATAGAAGCATTATGAAGTCAATCTCAAATTTAAAATAATGGATTTTTTCACAAACCCAGATTGAATAGGATTAAAATATTTGGTATTGGGGAGCATTGTTAAAGTTTGTGACCTATTTTTTAATTAATATTTTAGGGGAAACACCAACTTTGAAACTTGCTCAAATATTTGGTTACCTTGAATTTTCCCCTCCTCCCCCTCTCTCTGACTTGCAGGTAATAATGGGCTACCACCTTTGCTGCTTTCCACTGCGCTTGGTTCGAAAGAACTTTTTTCCGAGATTTGAGAAGAATCTGTAACAAGTAAAGATGGAATATATTTGTGTAACTTATCATGTGAAAGACGTTGATAAATAAACGTATGGTAGAGCTAGAGTTGCTTTTCAAGCAGTAGAGTACCTGAAACAATTACAAAAATTTCTATACCTGACATGAACTCATGACCAAAGGAGAAACATACATCCATTTATTAATTCATGAATAAAATCAGCAACTCGCATATCAGTGGGTATTTGCCTGTTCACAAGATTTGCTATTTTATTGTTTATTTTTAAGACACATAAGCCAAATGATTTAAAATTGTTCACATGACAGAATTTCTATTTCAGAGAGAATAAAGCCAAACAGAAGAACATAGTCCAAGTCCGTTTTATTTTACCATTTCTTTTTTTGGAATAATTTGGAATAATAGTACAATTCTTGGAGAAAATATATAAAGGACACAATCTATTTTCCCTATCACGATTATAACGTCATAGATGAGATGGTCATCTGAACCTGATATCTTGGAATGTCCAAGCCTGCAACAACAGAAATATGGCCACCAAACCATAAAAAAGCATTATGAAGTCAATCTCAAATTTGAAATAATGGATTTTTTCACCAACCCAGATTGAGTAGGATTAAAATACTTGGTATTGGGGAGCATTGCTTAAAGTTTGTGACCAATTTTCTTAATTTATAATCAGGGGAAACACAAGCTTTGAAACTTGCTCAAATCTTTGGTTACCTTGAATTTTCTCGTCCTCTCCCTCTCTCCTGCTTGCAGGTAATAATGGGCTACCACCTTTGCTGCTTTCCACTGCACTTGGTTTGGAAGAACTTTTTTCCGAGATTTGAGAAGGATCTGTAACAAGTAAAAATGTATAATGTTTATGTGACTGTTCAAGTAAAACTGGGTTAAGAAAAGGTAGGGTAGAAAAAGTATTGCATTTAAAGCAGTAGAAAACCTGAAATATTTACTAGTTAACAATTCTCATACCAACATAAACTAATGACATGACAAGGAGACACTCTCTCCATCTTCTGCAGATTGTGCAAGTGAAATTACATTTGTATGATGCTGCAAGGTTGATAAATAAAACACTCTTAACAAGCACTCACTAATATGTAACTTGCAACACCTAGGAGTCAGAGTACAGTAAGGCATAGGAATTGTGCTGTCAAGGAAATATGTGGTTTAAGGAACTCCAATCTGATCATAATCCTATTATATTGTGTCAGGTTGGATGGAACCAAGACAGCAGAGATAACTTTGATGGATTATCAGATGTGAATTCACAAAGGTGTAGACCAGGGCTGGGCAATGTTTTGTGATCAGAGGCAAACATTTTGCTCTCCTAGACTGGCGGGCCATGAAAGTGTGACGTTAAATGTTACATTTTATAAACAATAATTACAGTGTTACAAAAGCCAAAGTGAAAAACAATAAGCCTCGCTCCAAAACTAAATTTAATCTCAATCTCAAAAAATTGCATGAAGTTTTTTTTTTAGCTAAAACATCAAAGTTTTAGTTGGGTTGCAGCAGCATCGGGCGAGTCAGATTAAATTACTCAACGAGTCGGATTTGGCTCGCGGGTGCCGTAGTTTGCTCATGTTAGGTATAGATTATACCCATTCGTACAATTGCCCTGGAACTTGTTTGTTTTATATTTATGACAAATATTACCTCAAATTCACTTAAAACACACAGAACGTGTCTTATCCTGTTATTGCCCCACCAGCGTTTTTTCTTCTGTTAACATGGGTTAGATTAGTAAGACGGGTCCGTAACCAAACTTAACTTATTCAAGCTCAGCATTATTAGATAAACAGAATCTGACAACCAGATTAGGAAAATAGTGGTTGTCTTCTGCCTCAAAAGCGTAACAGTATCTGCTTAGTAATCAAACAGTATAACAGGGACGGGATACATGTTCAAGACCTTACTTGGGATGTGAGACATGCACCCCTGCCATAACAGCAGAAACGCGACGCCTGTGCTGAGTGATTTTACTGGTGATCGCCTGGTGCCTACTTGCCTTCGAATCCAAGATCAAAATTCTTTGTTGCAATCTCACCCAGGAAAGTGGAGTGTAATAGATATGATAATTTCTAGTTAATTTATCAAATGCCGTCTCATTGCCTGACTTTGGTAATATGAGATTATTTTCAGCAATAAATGGTCCATTTATTGTCCAAACGATTCCAAATTCGCTCAGTAAAACATTCATGTGAAAGTCTACTAGACATGTTTACTTTTGAAACAAGAGAGCAATGCTCAAATATATGGACACGCAGAACAATTCTCCAAAAAATCATATTCGGTGACTTACCAGTACCTGTATAAACAACGCACCACATCACAGGAATCAAACAAACAAAAACACGGTGGTCGCAAATTGGTTGACAAAGATATTATCGACGTATTGGAAATGCGCTTCCCCCTACTCTCCCTCATTTGAATGTAAAAACGCAAAACCTTTAAAGATGGTTAAAAGAAACACAACTCTACCCACCTGCCAAAGTTCATCTTTTTATCTCTTATATTTCTGTATTTGTATGGATTTTCAAGCTTTTGACAGCTACGAGTTAGTTTAGTGTCACCGCGCTACCAGAACTTCTCTATCTTTAAAAACATTGGGCTTCTAATTGCATTTCTGACCGTCATATATTTTAAAAACACGGTTATTTCGAACAAAAAACGTCAAATTATAAACAAAGCATCACATCACAGCAATCAAACGGACGAAAACACAACAAATACTAACATAGCACAGTATCAGCATTTGCAAAGTTATAACTGTATGATTTAAATATTTATTCAGTTCAAAATTTTGTCAGGAAGGATACCGGTACCGGTAGGTATGCCAATTTTAGTTTTTGTCCGAAGTAGGCAAATCTGGTGAATGAAATTCATTTCACTACCGCTACTAGGCATTCTGACATTTGATATATTCTAGTGTTCGGATACCGGTACAAATTTTGGTTTTCGTCCGAAGTAGCCAAATCTGGTAAAGAAAATTCATTTCACTACCCGTACCAGGCATTCTGAGATTTGATATATTCCAGTGTTCGGATACCGATAAATATTGGTTTTCGTCCGAAGTAGCCAAATCTGGTAAAGGAAATTCATTTCACTACCCGTACCAGGCATTCTGACATTTGATATATTCCAGTGTTCGGCACTTACCGGTACCGGAACCGGGTAACAGCGTATGGTACCGGTACCGGTGTTAGAACTGAGACAACGCAGTTACCGGTACGGTATTGGGACTAAAATCTTTTACATGTTTCCTGTTCATAATACAATAACTGAATACCCGTATTGGTCTAGTTATGGTCTACATACCGGTACATACTTGGTCTACATACCGGTACTGGTCTACAAGACATACCACAGTCTACAAATCCTACTGACACCAAGCAAGCAGTCTATGATTTCGAAAAACAAATACCGGTAGCGAAGAGCGAAGCAGTATATACCTTTGACGCCACCGGTACCCACAAAAAATTCCGAGTTTCGCGTAGAAATAATTTACCGGGTCAAACCGGACAGCTAGTGTTCCCATGGATAAAATAATACAGCAAAATTTCAGACGAAATATCAAATTTCATGCGTAATTTAGAAATAAATAAAAGTAATAGCCTTCTGGCAAAAAACTCAATATTCACTCACTGAAAATTTCAAAGCAATTGGTCCAGTATTCGAAGAGAAAAGCGATTTTTTTTAAAAATGATGGAGACAAATAATGAAATTAACAATAAAAAATTTTGAAACGATCGTTATGTTCACTACACCACTGTGAAACTAGCAGAACCTTCAGCCAGAATATTTTTACACATTGAATATAGGTTCCACGCGCATATAATGTTCACTTATAGTTACATATGAAAATGAAAATGCTGATCAAAATATAATTTTTGCACGAAAATACATGAAAAATCTTTAAACTGAATAAATACATTGAATTTAAAAAGAAAATAGTGTTTAAAAAAAGACTAACTAGGCGAAAAATAAATTTTCAGGTATTCCGCAAATACCGGTACGAAGTTTCTGAAAATTATCCTTTTCGGAACCTCGATTCCTCGAAAACCGCCAATAAAGGCAGCACCACGACACATTTAAAAAAAAACAGATACCCTATAAATTCGATTTTTCTATAACAGAACAGTAGCAGCACGTTTTGGCTTGACCATATATATTACCAAACATATCGTGTAATATAAATTTTACAACGGCATGGACGTAAGAATTCAAAATTGATTTTGTATTTCAACTAAATTTGCTAGATAATTAATCAAATATCATTTTCTCTTTGTCACACATTAATACTGTACATCTATCAAACTTGGAATACGTTGCGGGAAGTATAAAACAGCAAAAAAACATTTGCGACTTCCAGTGGATTCTGTCCTGGATAACAAAATATAATCGTTTTTAAAATGGCGATTTTTCGAAAACCGCCAATAAAGGCAGCACTACGACATATTAGGATAAAAGCACATACATTATAGATTCGATTTTATTATGCCAGAACAGTAGCAGCACGTTTTGACTTGGCCATATATAATACCAAACATAGCGTATATTCCTCGATTTTTTAAAACAACGGTACGTAACATATTAAAAAAGGGTTTGTATTTCAACTAAAGTTGGATAAAGCAGGATAATTGATCAAATATCTTTTTCTCTTTGTCGCACATCAATACTGTACGTCAATTAAACTTCAATGAAACTTAAAAGTTTCAGAAAGTATAAAGTAATAATAAAAAAAAATTTGCGCACCCTCGTGAATTAGTTTGAGAATTTCGAAAATTATCGTTTTTGGAGTGGTGATTTCTCAAAAACCGCCAATAAGGGCAGCATCACGACACATTCAGAGAAAAGCACATACCTTATAGATTCAATTTTATTATGTCAGAACGGTAGCAGCACGTTTTGACTTGGCCATATATAATACCAAATATAGCGCATATTCTCAATTATTTAAATAGCGTAGATGTTCACATATTTTAAAAAGATTTGGTATTTCAAATAAATTCACCTAATAACGTAATATTCCGTTTATTACTTTTTCAAACACACACAAACTTGGAATAAGTTGCAAATTATATAAAACAATGAAAAAATGTCTTACGCCCTATATAATATTATTTTAATTTCCAAACATGCCCTTTTTGGAGTGACGATTTCTTGAAAACCGCCAATAAAGGCAGCATTTCGACACCTTTTAGGCGAATAGCAGATACATTGAAGATTCGATTCCATTTTCGTGTATTCAAAATTTCAAAAAACAATGCAGACATAACATATTTAAAAAGAGTTTCATGTTTAAACTAAATTTACTAGATAATTTATCAAACTTTCTTTGTCTTGCTAACACATCAATACTGTACGTTCATTGAAGTTGAAATAAGTTGCGAAAAGTATAAAATATCGAAATATCATTTTACGCCGTCTTGTGGATTATTTTCAAAATTTTGAAAATTATCGTTTTTGGAGTGACGATTTCTCGAAAACTGCCAATAAAGGCAAAACCACGACACATATGAAGAAAATCATATAACTTACATATTCGACTTTACTATACCAGAACAGTAACAGCACGTTTTGACTTGGTCATATATGTTACCAAACATAGCGTGTTTTTAAAATTTTACATCAAAATGTACGTAACGAATTTAAAAAGTTTGTATTTCAACTTAATTTGCTGGATAATTTATCAAATATATTTTTTGCCTTGTCCAGTATTGATGTGTGACTGAGAAAAAATTATATTTGAACAAGTTTTCAGTAAATTCGTTTAAAATACGACAGCTTTATGAATTTTTAACCTTAGCATTATTCAAAAATTGAAGAATATA